AACTTCAGTGAACTAAGATTCATCTACAACTATTTGATCGAGTATAACAAGAAAAGTACTATCATTTCCTGTTTGGCCACTAGTAAGTTCTGACCCAAATGCACAATAATTTTCTTTTGAATACTGAGCATTGTGCAGTCAAATGAAAAACAGTTAGCTTTCATTTGTAAAAAAGGTTCGACACGTTTGCTGTTGGTCTGCTGAAAACATTTTCAAAACAAATAACACACTTGCTTTTATCAAGCCTATCACGCTTACGTTCTTCATTAGTTTCATTTTTTTTTTTTGTGTAAACTTCATGTTCTGTTTTTTCATTTGAGTTAGGTGAAGGATTTATTTTCATACTTTCATATTTGTCATATTTATCTTTTTTTAGTTTATGAACTTCAATGTTTGACTCTGTGTTAAATATTGATCTATACATGCTTTTTTTTGCATGAATAAAATTGTTATTTTTTGCAAGAAACACATTTTCTACAATATTTCTCATAAAAAATGTTCATATTCAGATTTTCTTGAACGTACTCTTTGTTTGTAATTTTGCGACAAAAGTGACTGTTGATTCTAGAAATGCTTTGAATATGCTGACGTACAAAATCTTTAATAAAATTTGGACAGTTAGACTAGGTACTTTACCTCTTTTAAACTGTTGAGGTATTCCTGTTGTTTTGTTTTTTGTTCTTTTTTCATCAATATCTAGAGTACATAGATAAAATTCTTTGCAAACATGAATTAGTTCATCAGAAACAATAAAGTAATATGAATAAGTTTTTTTTTTTAATTCTGAATTTTCAGCTGAACAAAACCTTTTTTTGTTCTCTACACTTGTAGTTTGGGAGTAAAAAAGACGCTTTTCTTGATCATTTAAAATCCAGTGTTGTTTGTGCTAAGTTTCTTGATCAGCAACGCTAATTTTTATTTTACATTTAAAACGACATTGTGTGTGGTTTTATTGATAACAAATAGGGTTTTAGCAGTTGTTTAACATCATAAACAAATTCTGATCAATAATCTGATTGGTCAAAGGACATACAGCATTCTGGTTCTTTTAATAATATTTTTGTGACTAGAACCCCTCAAAACACAGATTTCATCATAGAGAACATTTTTAGTAATAAACACAAAAAAAAGTCTCCCGGAGACTTTTTTTTTAGCAATTTACTGGATGAGTAATCTACCTTTCATCTTCTAGGATTAATACTTCTGATCTTTCTTGGAAACCATATCACCAGCTGAGAACCAGACTCCAGGTTCTCAGCTGGCGATATAACCAATCCTAGAAGATGAAAGGTAGATTAATCATCCAGTAAATTGCTGTTCATAAATATAGAAAGATCTAGATTATTGCAATAACGTATAGCTGAAAAAAATTGAGTTTCACCTGAGTTAAAGTTCACCAGCCACTGAGAGCCCCAGGCTGTAGCAGAAGTGAGATTCTTTTCAAGGTCAAATGCCCCCTCCAAGCAATCAGTGTTGGCTTCTTATCAAGACAAGAATAAATGGTAATACTATCAGCGAACAATGCCACCTTAGATGTGAGAATTTCTGGGAGATTGTTAATGTAAATTAAAAAAGTATAGAGCCAAGGATAGAATTCTGAAGATTTTAATCAACTTTTTGAGTAAAAAAAGAAACAATTATGTCAAGAAAAGAACTTGTATTTCCAATAATAATAATTTTTAGCAATACTAAGGTTTTTTTTTTTTTTTTTTTTTTTGAAAGGCACTGGCACTTTTTGAAAGGCACTTTTTTTTGAAAGACACTGTCTTTGCAAAGTTAGAAATAGTTCAGCGATAGCTAAACCACTGATGACTAGATTCATAAGAATCCTTTTTCAATTTAAATACTTATTTTTTTAATTTCAAGAACATTTGGACTAATGGAGTATTATGTGAAAAATAATTTTAAATTCATGCTTTTAGATTAGCGACTGTAGCTTACATGAACATTTGAATATGAAAAGTCTTAATAATTAAAAGTATTAATTATCAAAAATTTAAAATAAAGATTTCGAATAAGAAGGATTTTGCTTTCTGTGTTGTTCAACAACTTTTAAAATAAATTGTTGTTACTCTTCATTTTGCACACACTCGCAGTATTCACCAATAAACATGATTCATTTTTTGGCACAATCATTTGTTACTTTTAATTGTTTAACAAAACTTTCTGTAAATAAATAATCTTGGAAGAACTTTTACTCTTGTGGAGATATTCTTAATCATTTCTTGATCAAGTTCTAATAAATTGAAAAAGAATAAAAAAATTGGAAAGCCGTGACCATTTATAAAGATAAAATAACAAGCTTTTTGGTTAAATGTCAAAATAGTTGATTAATTGATGAAATCACAGCATTTGCAATAACTTAATCCTATTCTTGATAGCAGTTCATTGCAACTAAAAAGTCATTCAGTGGAGAACATATGGAAATCCTTGAGCGGAGATTGCATTGAATAAAAAAGGCTAGTAAACTTAGCCATGCAGAGGATCATAATTCGCTCACCATCAGCATAAAAAATCTATCAGATAAGAGTTCCACTTTTTAAATATATATGGAATGTGCCATAAATTTCACATTGTGAATTGCATTTGGCTAGTAAATTTTGAACATTTTTGTTCACTGATAGTTTTCCCCAAAAGTAGAAAAGAGTTAAAGAGAGGTCTCTTTAACTCAAAATTTAAATAAAGTTTATTGCTCCTCAAATTATATATCAACAATATTTTTTTAAATTTTCTGGCCTAGCGCGAGTTTCAAGGCTGCATCACATTGAACTTTACCTATTAAATCTTTTATTAAACATACACCAATAAGTTTCCACCTGCAAATGAAAGTAAAGTTAATTTTTTTGTGAAATATACATAAGTATATAAATAAACAAAGAAGTACCGGTTATGTGATTGGCTTGTGAGAACTGCTACACTTTTTTCATTATGATCCATGTCTAAATGAAAATGCTTTGAATCCCAGTGTAAAATGACCATTTTTGATTAGTATATTTCCTAGTTAGCTTTAATCGACAGGACTGTTTTCTCCCGCACATATTATATTTGATGATGTATAGTTGATACATGGACATGATTAAGTTTGCTTTTGCTTTTGTAGATGATAGTGGATCGAAATAGTTTGCTATTAGCAAACTGATAAACAACATCAGTCTGCCACTGATGCTGTAACTTATTATATTTTAAAACATCTTGATATGTCATGTGATATTTTCTGCTACTCTTAAGATCTTCTTTTCATTTTGGTTTTCATAATATCGCAAAGTTTATTACAAATCCTGTTGTTGTTTTTTTTGTTTTTTATTTCAGCTTTAATATTTTGACTTGAGCAGTCAACTTTCTTTATTTTCACTTTTTTATCCAACAATTTTGTAAGCAATTTTGTAAGCTTTCTTAACCTCATTAATAACAAGTTTAAAAATAACTCTTGCAGAAGTTTCAATTTTAGAATAAAAACATAACACATATCTTTTTGTTGGCAGGTGTGACTGAAGCCCAACAAAATATCGGATTCAGGCTGACCAATTAACTAATCATGGTTATTTTTTTGAGAGGTTCATCATTATAATAAAATATTTGTCTATCTATAATATCTAGTAAAATATTTGTCTATCTATAATAAACTAGTTAAGACTATTTTTAAAATTTCATATTTGCTAATTGATAAAACATTCATTTTTTAAAAAAGTTTATGAAACTTTATATACACATATACAGATGTTTATTTTGCAATGCAAACTATTTAGTTGTGGAACAGTTTTTAGTGGTCAATTATGCTCAAAAATATATTTTACGTACAACTTCTTTTAAGGCATTAAATCTATAGGAACAATTTTTTAGTAAGAAATATGTTGAAAAATAAAACCTTATAATACAGCGACACCTCAAAATTAACATTTTTTTTTAAAATTTTTTGCCGAATGTTCATCTGATAACCTCTATTATATACACCAAGTAACATAACATAAAATTGATTATTTCTTAGTTATTAAAATTTAAAGTTGATAAAAGTGTGAAAAACACTATGTTTTGACAATTTAAAATTTTTAAAAAAATACAGGTGTGTTTTTTGCCCATAATGTAACCATTTTTTAAAAATTGTCAGGAATGAAACACCCTACTGTTGCGATTCTGATGAGATAAGAGTTGTTATATGTAAAAAATAAAATAGTGATACTTTAGTAACTTCTTAGAGCTTTCAGAGGCCTAATTTTTCATGGAATATTTATTTTATAAAGTACTTTAAATTGAGACATAATTTGTTGACATCAATAGCATTTGTAATGATTTCTGGATTATTTGATATTAAGAACTTCCCAGTGTTGTTGTTTTTTTATTTTTATTTATTTTTGAAATATAAAAAAAATATTTTAATTACTTTAATGCTTTAGTTTAAACTCCATACTTAAATTATTTCTTTTAGAGGATTAATATGCATATATAGAAACTTGTGGCAATTAACTTAGTGGCTTTTTTAAACTGTTTAAAAAATCAACTTCACAGTTTCGATCAACTTTAACCCCAGTGCAAAATACCTAAAAAGAGTTAGTCAATAATTTTTTATTTATTTATTTTGCTTTAAATATTTAAAGTTATTTTAAAACTTTACTATTTAAAAAAATTTTTTTAATGCTGATCCTTTAAATTTATTTATAAAAAACTTTATTATTTTAAACAATTTTTTTATTCCAAATTTTTTGAATATAGTAGTTATAAGATTTTTTGATTTCAATAAAATTTAAAAATCAATCAAATTTATGGCAGTAACACCATCTTCCCCTTCTATGGCAGTAACACCATCTTCCCCTTCTATGGCAGTAACACTATCTGCCCCTTCTACGCAGATTGTTTATTAAATGACATTGTGTGATGTCAAGATTTGCTAATAAGACAAGTTGATAAAATACCTTTGAAACATATTAGATAAAAGTGTAAAAAAAATTTCTGAAAGAACTATTTTTGAAACTATAAATAATAAATAAAAAATTACAGTTTAGTACCTTGATTATTTTTTTCATCTTCAGAAACAATTTCTGCATTTTCCCACCAATCATCACCAAGATCATCAGCCATTTATATATACTTTACAGTTATTCTGAACAAATTAATTTTTACAAATTAGACAGAAAATTTTTTTTTTTTGAATTGTATTGATTGCTTTGCATTGTATTAATATTAAGTATTGCATTTTACCTTTTGGTATAAATTTTTTCATATCTTAGAACAATTAGATTTTATAAAAACAAAAAACAAAATATTTTTCAAAAAAAAAAATTATTAATTGCATAATTGCAATGAATTTCTCACTAATATAAACATGCAGTAATAAATACAAATATCTCATTTAAAAAGTTTAATGTTTAAAAATGATAACGTAATTAATATGTTAGCAAAACATCAAACACATGTTTTGTACTAAGAATTAAAAAAATCACAAGATATATATATATATATATATATATATATATTAAACTTTAAAATAAAAGTTAGCGTATAAATTCTAATAAAAAAAAAATTGCCACCACAAATCACAACTAATAATTTTGAACAAAAGCTAAATATAACTTAAATTCTAAAACTAGATAAAAACAATCTTTCAGCATTTAAAAACTTTTTTTTAAAAAAGAAAAATGTCATAAAAAGGAAAACCATTTTTTCAATTTATAAATGTCATGTGCAGAAAATCTGTAAAAAATTCTTAAACCAAATTGAATTTAAAAATAATTTATAAAAAAATAAAGAAAATAGTAAATATAATTAAATTAATAAATACTATAAAGATGTATAAAACTATATTAAAATTATAAAATAGTTAACAAAGAGTGCAAAAATGTCAAGTGAAAAAAATATAAGTATTTTTAAAATGCTTTAAAAAATATATATACACATATAAAACTTATAACAAATTTAAATATATTCTTCCAAGGATATATAGCAACATAAATGTTAATTGAATATTAATAACTTAATCTTGAAATATTTATTTTGTGTCATTGTGCTTTAAACATCACTACTTATTTTTTGAGTTGGATGTTTTTGTGCTTAACAAAGGTTCAGTAGACACTCTTGTCCTAAAATAGAAAAAGATTGACAAAAAAGAAATCTACAAAAATACCTAAATGCATTATATTTAGACAAAATAATATATATATAATGTTCGAAATTAACCTCGGAGCTCGGCATATGCCGAGGGCTTTGTAGTATTTTGATAATTTACTTCAGCAAAAAAGTGCTGAGGCAAAAAGTGTTTCAATAATTTTTTGTCAATGATATTAACTTCTTTTTCAATTTTTTATAATTAAGGCGGGTTGAACAAGGGATATCGTGCAAAATTTTATGCCCCAATAAGTCCGCAAGGCTTTCGAGTAGCTAAAAAAATGAAAAAATAAAATTTTGCCAAAGAAATGCCAAGGTAAACAATACTTTTCAAGTCAAGCCCTCGGCATTTGTTTGCCGAGGCCAAAAAAGCTGAATTTGGAACGCTGTATATATCAACTCTCGGAATTAGGAAAAATGAGGTTGGCAATAATTTGTAGACCTCCATCTTTTTAAGGTCAGCATCAGGTTGGCAAAAATTATTTGATACAAAGGTCTGACCATAAACCATAGAAATGAGGTCTGCAATTTTTTGCCGACCTCAAACACTTTCAGGCCAGCAGTTAGGTCTGCATTGCCGAATGTCGACCTTAACTCAGAGGGTCGTATATATATATATATATATATATATATATATATATATATATATATATATATATATATATATATATATATATATATATATATATATATATATATATATTATATATATATATATATATATATATATATATATATATATATATATATATATATATATATATATATACATATATATATATATATATATATATATATATATATATATATATATATATATATATATATATATATATATATATATATATAGATATATATATATATATATATATATATATATATATATATATATATATATATATATATATATATATATATATATATATATATATATATATATATATATATATATAGATATAGATATAGATAGATAAATAGATATATTAGGGTGTTACCCAGGAAAAAAATTCATACAGCGTTTTTGCAAAATTGGGAATTTAGGTGCGGCTAATATAGTATACTTCCATTGAGTGAGTATACTTCCATTTTTTAGATATAATTAAATTTTAATCAAAATAAATGTTCTTTTTTTGCTGGGTGTTATAGTTATAGCAGGATTATTTTTCTACTTTATAAATGTTTAATTCTAATTATTTAGTTTGTTTCATTATGGGATATCTTCTAAAGTTTTCATTTTTAAATCGTTTCTCCTCTTTGTTTGATATACTGTAGTCGTTTTTCAAAATGCCTTAATAGGCTTATTACGTATTTTGAGAAAAACGTAATTAAAAAAAATCATTTGGAGAAACTCTTTGTAAAACGCTTTTTGAAACTAATAATTTTTATGAATTTTTTTAAAAACTCTTTAAAAATATGTATTCAAAAATGTTTGTAGACATCTAAACTAGCTTAATTGGTAAAAAAAGCCAAATTGATTTTTTTTTTACATAAGACTCTTTGAAAAACAGCTGCAGTAAAGAAGAGAGAAAACAAGAACTAAAGAAAATTGTTTGCTGTTTTAATGAATGTATTAGAAAATATGTATTTGACTATATAACTATTTAAATGCTTTAGTATTTTAAAATACTTAAAAAACTTTTTTACAAATGTCAAATTTTTATCATTAGATAAATTTAACAGTTTAAAAACTTATTTAAATCAATAGCTTTTAAATGAAAATTAAATGAAAGTTTTTAAAATCTTAATAACTTTTAATTGAAAAACTTGGTCGGCTTGCCGATTTCCGTCAAATATAATGTTTGTTAAAAGAACTTTTCTTTTTTGAATCTGATTTATTTAAATTAAAAGTTTTATAAAAAAATTAAGAAAAATTTTTATTTATATTATTTAACACTTTTATTTATATTATTTATATTATTTTTTTTTTGCATTTTTTTAAAAAGATTTTAGAATTCAGAATAGAACTGTATTCTAATATTTAAACAAGTTTAAATATTAGAATACAGTTCTAATATTTAAACTTGTTTGCATTTCATATTAAAGATCTTTACTTTATACAACCTTTATGTTTAATGAAGGATTTTCTATTTACGGATCTTCAAATATTTATTTTAAAATTATTTCTTACAGAACTAAAAAGTAATATAAAAATATTAATGATTAAGAAAGATGTTCAAATGGATTAATAAATAAAGAAAATTGTCACAAACAAACATCCAATGATATCAAAAATGATGTGAAAATCAAAATATCAAAAATGAAGTAAAATCCGTATCAATATCAAGAAAAGTTCAAGTTTCAATGATGTAGAAAAAGAATTTAACAATTAGTCATTCTGGCATTGAAAGAAATGAAAATGCAATGGTTTGCTTCCATGAATATGAAAAACTTTACTTACAACAATAATTACGTTACATTACATCATTACATTAATTACATTACAACCCACATAACATGCTGTGATCCATTAAATTCATATAATGGAAAAAGAAGAAAAGTTACTTAACCATGAAACTTTTTTTTAATTTTGTTTTTATTATATATATTAGATTTTTTTGCAAAAACACTCACTAACTGAAGTTGTAATTATCACTCATGTTTTTAGGAGGATGTAAAGATATTAATAAACAACTTGCTGGGAAATTGAAAAACATTGGTTGTTTGGTTGTTCTCCAGGAATAACAATAACATTAATGCTATTCCTGGAGAAAAGATTTGTCCATAATGTATAACTAAATTGCTGTCATTTAAAGATGATGGACCAGGAGAACTGACTTGCAGCCAGATTTATGAAGATGAAGATAATGAACTTCTCAAATCTCAATTATTTTTTGACAGCTATTAACCTCTCTTGCTGATCCTTCGCTTAACCTTCTCAGCTAATCCTCTCTAAAAGACATGCTGTGAATAGTCACTCAAGAGTTGCTCTTGGTAAAAAAAAATCATTACATGTTGAAAAAACAGTAAAGTTAGGTATTTTCATTTAAGGACTTTAAAAAAAGATCCTGATCAGTTAAGCTTTCTTTTTAATAAATTAAGCTTCCTTTAATAAATTATCTAAGGAAATTAAATGTAAAGAAAATGATATGGATATACTTATAGAAAAAATTAAAGAAAAAATGTTAACTTTCAAATGGAATCAGAAAATTCAATTACTACTGGTTCCAATACCTTGATCTAACAAATGTATAGAAAAAGAATCTAATGTTACTAATTATATATTGCAGACATCACACAAACTGCAACTGAAAAATGATATTTTATCTTTCCATGAGAAAAAAAAAAGGAAAGGGAATATCTCATTTGTACGTATGTGTATTTACTGTATGCTAAGTTTAACCTGTTATCCTGATATAAAGACTTGTTTTCTCACTTTTGCTCAAATCGCCCAAAATGATGCATTACAGCGTGAGCATCTCGTACGCATACAGTATGTGTGTGATCACACTCATACTGTATGTAGACCTACCATCAAAATGTTAAATTAGTTAATGATTAGTGCAGTTGAATTATCAAAGGTTTATCATGAACTTATTGATATGCTTGTTTGTAGTAGGGCTAGCAAGAATTGCATGATACATTGTTACCCTTTGTGTCCAGAAGATTCTATATTAAGATATTATCTTGAAAATGAGTTCTACTCTCAAAAAGATATTGATGAAGATCATGGTTATTATATAGATTACAAACAATAGACAATAAAAGACAACAGACCGATCTGATCTAGTAAGTCTAACAGAAATTACAAGTAGCTTCATTAATACTCTAATAAATAAGTTACAAAAACTTACTGTTCAAATATTACCAGTTTTTTATTTTTGCAGTTTTTTTGTTTTAAGGCATTTGTTACATATAACATAAGGAAACATTTGTTACATAGAACATAAGGAAAAAATTTCATAATCATATCTTTCAGGCATCTCAAGATAATCATTTTTTGTACAGGGCATCAAAAAACTTACAAAAAGTATTACATTGTTTTCCTATCATTTTTGAGTTCCTCACCCTAAAATAAAGTCATAAATAAAAAAATCTTCATTAAACATAAAGGTTGTATAAAGTGAAGATCCTTAATGTGAAATGCAAACAAGTTTATATATTAGAATTGTACCTGAGGTTCTAAAATCTATTTTAAAAAACAAAAAATGCAAAAAAAAAAATAGCAAAAAAAAAAATATATGTAATTTTTTTTCATTATTAAATAACAATTTTTTTATAAAACTTTCAATCCAAATAAATCAGATTCAAAAAAACAAAACCCCTGCAGTTTTTTGTATAAGGAGTTTGTTATATAAAACCATAGAAAAATTTTTTAGAATCATATCTTTAAGGCATCTCAAGATATACTTCTTTTTGTACGGGGCATCAAAAAACTTATAAAAAGGATTACACCATTTTGAAATTGAATTTTCATAGAGAATTTTTTAGTGTTTTAGATACCATTTTTAAGATCCTATCCCTAAAAAATAGTTAGGTACAAAATCTCAACACTATTGAACAAGTATTTTATAAGTTAATCTAATTGTGATATGTAATTAGCTTAAAAAACAAATGGCGCTGAAAAAAATAATCAAAAATGAGATTGAGACTGAGTATCGATTTCTCTGAAATCGTAAGGAGTTAGACATTAAAATTTGGAGTGAAGTTTTCTTTTGTTAATATAACCTTGTATTCCGAAAATCATCAAAATCTAAAATTTTTTTTAAATATAGATTTGACACGGAATGACAGTAAAGTATTAAATAAATTGATAGATAGTGTAAAAACCCAACGAAAACAATCGTCTAAGGAATGTAGTTAATATCAAGTTGTTGTTTTTTTATGAAAACTGTTCAACAGGTGATAAAGATTTTTTACAATAAAATTCATAAGTTTTCAAATTGTTTTGGATCTCTGAAACTTCTATATTACACTATAATTACTAAAAAGGTAATAGTTCTTTTTAAAAATCGCTTCATTGTTCCCACAATACAAATGCCACCATAAAAATTCTTAACACCAAGGTTATTATTCTGATTTTGACTGAAAAAAGGTTTAGTGGTAAAAATAACTTAAAAAAATAAATAAATAAATAATCATCAAAAACAAACAATTAAAAAACAAACAACAAACAAACACTTGATATACTAAAGACACAAAAAAGTTATCAACAAATCAAACTTTTTTTTGGTACCATGACACTATTAATACTTAACCCTGCAAATTTGATATTGACAAGAACCATAGCTTATACTTTATTGCTAATAAAATAAAATAATGGCATATAATAGAATACAACATTATCATGTAACTAACCTTGTTGCATTGGTTCTTTGAGGAATTCCACCATTTTTGGGTGAAGTCTAAATAAAAACTTGAAAATATAAAAAAAGAATTTTTTATTTCCTAGGTCTTTAATTGTTATTGATGAAGTAAAGATGCTGTAAAATTAAAATGTCACAATATATTTTGACTTACTGGTTTTGCATAAACAGATGATGATTGAAATCTTGGAGATGATGATTTTACAACATCATTGCTAAAAGCAAATAATTTTACCTATATATAAACATATTGAATGTGTATATATTCCTATAGTTTGATATTTAAACTTATTTGTTAAAAAAAACACTAGGAGAGCTTTATTTTTACAAATTATTAATTTGTGATATGGCGCATTCCAGAAAAAAAACATGGTCTTTTTAATTTAGTATATGATGAGTTTTAATTTTATGTATATTAAATTTGCTTTCTTTTTAGAGGTAAATAATTAGAATTAAAGAATATAGTTTTTAAGTGTTGTGTCACTGGATGTAGAGGTAACTACAATTTGTTACAAAGTCTGTGAAAGTTTTTGCCTTCTAAATAAAAAAATTGTGGATGAATGAAATAGATTTACAGGAAGTTAAGACCAAAACATCCACTATTTGCATTTTCTTGTGTAAACCCAAGTCAAATTCCAACTTCACTGGCACCACCAAGACTAACTACTAAATCAATGCCATTTTTAAAAAGTACTGTGTCTGATGAATATGTGCCAGAAAATATTTTATCCTTCGAAGATTTGTGTAATAAAATAATGTCTGAAACTAGGGTAAGGTTGCCGATATTGTAATGGCGCCTAAATTGTACTTTTGCTGTATCTCGTTATTTTTACAACCCAAAAAATATCTTTTGACTAAAATTTTATCTTTTCTATGTTGAAATAATAAATCAATTGTTATTTTTTGAGATGAAACTAGATTCTGGCAACATTTACCTCGAGTTGATATGATGCTAAAGTTTTCTTAATTTTGGGGTTCAATATTTAGAGTATTACTTTGAACATGTTGAACATGTCTTTTTTATCATATTTATGAGAAATCACAATTTATGTGAATTCAAAATAACTTCCAAGAAAATAAAATACAGTAGCATTTGTTGTCTAATTTGGTTATAAACTCAAAGGCTGCCATTTTGAATTTTGAATATTGGTCACTTTTGTCATAAATAAAAATTTTCTATTTTGTATTACTAATATAATGTGTAGTAATACCCATCATTTTTCTACCAATATTCTAGCTACCACATTACTAAGTTACACATTTAATTTAAAAGTTTTACCTTATTGATATTTGTTTTCAGGCTATTCCAGGAAAGATTTACAACTTCACAGTTTATTAAATTCAAAACTTTTTTGCATTGCTTTGCACAGAAAAAGATCTTTACAAAAATCATTCAAAATTTACTGCAAATTAATATAGTATTTGTAAAATCAAGATTGGATTATAATGGTACGATTTAGGATCTTGTTTCCTTAATTGTGCCGATAGCATGTTTTTTAAAATTCAATTCCCTATCAAACACCAGCGTTTAAACTTTTAATTATTTTAACTTTTTTAGAACATTTTATCCCCAAATTATAAAATACAATAATGTCTCATTGTTTCTACTTTGTATTTTTTCTCGATTTTTGACTTCATTCTTAGAGGGTACAATATTGGCAACTTTACCCTATATCTTTTTCTTTTTCAATAATACCAAATATCTATGAAAACTGTTTTCATCTTTAAGGTGGTTCCCCCAGAAAAAAAACACGATTTTGAAAAAAAAATCAAAATTGTGAATACATATACTTTTTTAAATGTCATTCTATACTCTTTCCAATGATTTATTATTTGATGGGTCTTTTAAAGTATAAAGATGAAAAATTAGGGTTTAAGCATATGGGTACATTAAAAATGTCCGTAACAATGCCTTAGCAACACATTTTGTCTGTGTAAATATTTGACAAGTTGACAAAAATAGGTGGTCTATTTTTTGTTTTTTTACTCTGATTCTAGAAAGCACTTTATGTTCTGTAAATTACTCAAATGTGCACGGAATTAAGTAATGGAACAGAAAAAAGTTAATGAAAGTGATGTTAGTGTGGTTGACAGAAATATATTTTGCTTGTTTGCAAATGATATGTTTGCTATGCTTTATCAATATTTTTTTTTTTTAATAAATATTGTTTCTAGATAATAACAGTTTCAAGAATAATTTTAAGTGAGTGTATTTTGTTCTGTTTTAAAATATTTTGGAATTTCAAACAGTTACTGTTTTGACCAATTATCTGTTAAGAGAGATAAAGAATGTTATTGATAAGAGCACTAAAAAGACAAATGAAAAAGGAAAAATCAAAAGAAAAAAAATAAGGGCTGCTAAATAGGGTTATATTGACCTAGAAAAAGCCAAGGAAAGTTAAATTAGTATTATTTTTTTTGTATTTAAGTTTTTAAATTGCATTTTTTGGAAAATATGATTTTCATGCAATTTTAAGTTTTTCAAACCTCATATTTTAATAAATATTAAACTTAATCACTTGAAATTTTCAGGAAACCTTTTTCAAACATATATCTAGAAACATATATGAATATATATATATATATATATATATATATATATATATATATATATATATATATATATATATATATATATATATATATATATATTCATATATAAACCTTTTTCAAACATATACCTAGAATATATATTCATATATATATATATATATATATATATATATATATATATATATAATATATATATATATATATATATATATATATATATATATATATATTCATATATAAACCTTTTTCAAACATATACCTAGAATATATATTCATATATATATATATATATATATATATATATATATATATATATATATATATATATATATATATATATACATATATATATATATACATATATATATATATATATATATATATATATATAAATATATATATATATATATATATATATATATATATATATATATATATATATATATTCATATATATATATATATATATATATTCATATATATATATATATATATATATATATATATATATATATATATATATATATATATATATATATATATATTGTCAAAAATGATTATTTTTTAATTTAATCAAGTCTTAAAAATATAATATTATTTTAAATAAAATAAAATTTTTTGAATAAAAACAAAAATTTGCAAACATTTATAAATAAAAATGTTTCAAAATATCATTATACATATACATTTAATGAAGTACCTTGAAGATTTAGGAATATTCTCTACTGAGTTTGAAAAGTCTAAGTTACCATAAAGGCTTACAACTGATGTTGATGTAAGGTTTTCCTGAAATTAAAGTTTACAATCAAGCTTTCCTAAGGCTGTGTAGCATTACAAGACTTAAGATTTAGTTTCTTATAAAATCATATTTTATAATTTTTAAAATATTTAAAATAAATAAAAAATATAAAATATATAAAGCATAAATTTGTGTGTACTATACTACCTTTTTCACTGCTTCTCTCTTTGACTCTACTTCTATAAAATGCTTTATTGCTTCATATATAAATTTATACTGCAGCTAAAAATTAAAAAATAACTATTTGTATTGAACAGTTATTAAGATTGGAATTTGCAAATCAAATATGAATATAAATAGTTTTTCAGTATAAAATATTTTGTGATTTTTGTACAAATTTTTTTAATATAAATTGAAATATTGATGTAGAATATGTTTATGTTTTATGTTTTACCAGAGTCAAAAAAAGATGTGAGTAAAGATTGTTTCATTATGTAACTATTACACTATATTATGTACTTAACAGATTAGTGTGTATCTTACATAAAATGAAATATATGTATAAGAAATTAGTAAAATTGCTCTAACGATGTAATTAGCTTGTTCTAAATTGTTTTTATGGTGTAAGTAGCTTGTTATATTTTAAAGATGAATAGATTTTGTCATTAGATAATGAATAATCTTATAATTATTAGAACTATTTACTGCTTTTACTTTTTATGTCTACTTATGTCTACTTAAGACTTTTTTTAACTAAATTTTATAATTATCCTATGTTTACTCATGTAATTCTCAGACATATTTAGAATTCAAAAAAGTGATATATGCACTTCTTGATCCAGAAACTAACAGTTTCTGCTAGTCTCCTTTATTTTTATAATTTATGGTCCAAAAAAGTCAATTTAACAGAAAAGTATATGGGCACTTTATTTACAAAACCACAGATACTTACATATTGATTTATTATAAATTATATCAATAAATGCATATATATGGTTGGGTCTTTAAATCATAATTTTCCATTACCACTCAAAAGTTTCCTTTTGGTGTCAATTAACACTGGCATAAATTTAAGAATTTTTGGATGAGCTTTAGCCAACCCGCAGGAGGCGGAGGAGGAGGCCTTAAGGTTTGAAGATCTTATTATAATCATAACTATATAAATAAACAAATATTTTTCAGTTCTTTTATTAGTTTTATTGAACTTGTTTTCTTCATTCCAAATTCACACTTAATCATTTCAACTAGTTTTGTATAGAAAGCACTTAAGGTATATAGATTTATGAAATTTATGAAAAATGAATTAAAATCATTAATAGATGATGATTTAAAAATAAGATGCAATCGACAAGAACTTGAAGTACATGATATTTTTAGTCAAATTTAAATTTAAAATTCAATTCTGTGATTATGTTTGATTCAAAATTCAATAGTTTATGGCTTAGTTAATGTTATACAACTATAATTAATTTCAAATTAATTTGTAACACAGTAACTTATGTTACAATTCTTAACTTGTTACACAGTTACTTATGTTACACAAGTTAACTTGTTACACAGTAACTTATGTTGCAAAAGTTAACTTGTTACACAGTAACTTATGTTACACAAGTTAACTTGTTACACGGTAACTTTGTTGCAAAAGTTAAGTAAATAAAAAAAATTGTTACAAAAATTAACTAAATGAAAAATGATTTATAAAAATACCTCAGTTTGCACCATGCCAGCTCTCTGTGTTCGTAAAAGTTGTGTTGTTCTCTGAATGTCAATTTCTGCATCTAAACCTGTCAAAAATATAATTTTGAAATAATTTGATAAAATTATGAATAAATTTACTCTATAAATTCTCAAAAATAAACAAAAAGTAAAAGTCTTTTATCAGTTGTATATTATTCTTTTAGCTGTGAATGTTATGAAGTAGTATTTTTATCACTTCTAGACACTGTTTTCTTCTTGTTTAACAAAAATGATACTTTAACTACCCAACTTCTTATTGTTTGGAATTGATCATGTTTTTTTTACATCAAGTTTAAAATGATCTTGCGAAAAGCAAAAAAAAGGTTTTATTTAAATTCTGAACGAAGTAATTAGAAAAACTCATCAGCAAAACGAACATTTTATTTAAATAAAATGTTCCTTCAAAACAATAAAAATAAAAGCAAAAAGACGAAAGTTTCATCAACAAAGTTATAATAAAAACAAAATTGACAAAATTAATGTTTTATTCAAATTTCTAATAAAATGGTAAAATGAGGGTAATTTCGCATTAAATCACCTAAAATTTAGAAAATTTTGAACGATGGTTCCTCAAATTTTTTAAAAACTTTTTGGCTGTTGCATCTTAAAAAAGAAAAGTTAACACATAAAATTTCAGCTGAAAATGTTGAGCGGTTGACAAGATACTGCAATTTTAATATTGATCTGGTTTCCCAAAATGACCCAGTTTTCATAACATTCTAAAAATACATTATTCTTGAAAAATGTATTTTTAAAAAAATTAGAAATAAAAATGGAAAAAATATGAAAATAAGCATATATAATATTTTTTTTGATGCTGAATTCAATAAATGTACTTAAAATGCTGAAATATAAAAGGAACATGCTTAAAAGTTAATAAAATAACTAGTTTCTATAAACCAACTTTGGGGCCTGATATCTCAAAAAAACCCCGGAAATTTTTTTTTCTTTTGCTGTTAATATTTTCAGTTGCTTATAATCTAACTTGGCACAAAAAAAGAGGAAAGAGCAGCCGTGGCGCAGTGGTAGCGCACTTGCCTCAGAAACGTAAGATCCGTGGTTCAAACCCCACCTCTGGGCAAGTTTCGCGACATTGGTTGGGAAGGAGGCGTGAACTTCCTATTAAATGCTCTTCCGCGGTGCTCTGTGATAAGACCGTAAGGACTTCTTGGGGCACCAACTTAAAATTTTAAAAAAAAAAAATCTAACTGGAAAAACAACTGAAAGATATAGAACTTTAATTTTAAAGATATATCAAATTTTCAATAAATTAGTTGAAAACTTGCAAATAGAATTCTGTAAAATATTAAATTTAGTTTATAAACTTCTTAGAAGAAAAAAACAAAACAATTTTGTTATATTTAAGGAAGTCTTATTTATATAACTTAGTTAATTGATCTTAACAACTGAAAAAAACATCCTGTTTTGTTTTTAAAAACTGACTAAGTGTGATATTGAAGTGCATTTGTTTTTAAAATTTTGACAACTATATTTTGTAAATGTTCAGTTATAGAACAACATTTATTAGTAAAATTTTATTTAAATTTTAAAAATTTGATATATATATATATATATATATATATATATATATATATATATATATATATATATATATATATATATATATATATATAATATATATATATATATAAATATATATATATATATATATATATATATATATATATATTTATATATATATATAATATATATATATATATATATATATATATATATATATATATATATATATATATATATATATATATATATATATATATATATATATATATAAAGAAAATTAACAATATCTATCAGTGCAAAAAATTATACAACAGAAGGATTCTGAAAAGGTTTGAATTATTTCTATATTAATTTTTTTTTTAAACTCAAGTGGAAAAGAAGAATTCATTTTTTTTTAGGAAATATATTCATACTAAGTTATTTATTATAAGATGTGTTCTATTGGCTTATATTTGAAAATGTATCCTATATGGCAGAAAGCATGTTGTGATCCATTCAATAAACATACAAAGAAAACCACAAGTAGATGTAGAATTAAAATATTTTAATATATATACTTTTTTAATTTGTATTTTCCAAAACATAAACAATGTTTTAACAATTGCGTAGATAAGCTTTTAGAAAATCTTAGAGTAGTTACGATAAATGAGTCACAAGAAGTAGTTTGGACATTGTTCCTGGAAAGAAACTTTGCAAACCTTGTAAGCAAAAGATTGCCAGAAAAGAAGATCTTAAAGAAGAGAAGCAAAGTAAGGGTGAACAAGATGAGGATTTTCTAATATTATCATTCAAATCAAAAAGACAGGAGATCAATGGATAACTCAAAAATTTTAATATATCTCATCTAAAATCTCATTTAAAGTCATCAAAACATATACTATAAGAAGGAAAGCGAAAAGTTGCGCGCATCAACATAATGGTAAGTAACGTTACTAGAAAAACTGAAAGTCAAGTCAATGTTTCCTCCAAACTGTGTTATGAAACAAATAACATGAAAAAGAAGGCTGAAACTTTGATGAAATTATGAGCTTGATAAAAGAAAAAATTCTATGTTCTGACAAAAGGACTATTGTTCAACTTCTAACACTGGCACGCCCAAGTTGGTTGATATTAGAAGTACAATATAACTTTGCAGTTACAGAATACCAAGCAAAGATGGCTAGACAAATTTTTTATAAAAAAGGATTGTTAGCTATCTCTTACACAAAGAAATAGAAGATTCTTTGAAATTATTTTATGACTCAAGTGGTTTATGTAGAACTATGCCTGGAAAAAAAGATTATATTAGCATTTAAAAGAACGTCAATAAATGAAAAAACTGCTTTTTTGTGATTTAAAGGAACTATATGTATTATACAAAGAAAAAAATCCAGAAATACAAATAAGTTACTCAAAATTTGCTTCACTTAGACCAAAGTAGTGCATTTTGCCAGGTGCAAGTGGTGCATTTTGCCAGGTGCAAGTGGTACACATTCTGTTTGTGTTTGTTCTTATCACCAAAATGCCATATTGCTAGTAGATGCCTTAAATATTGGACTAAAGTATAAGGATTTATGTTCAAAATCTGTTTGCTCAGTAGAAAACAAAGAATGCATGCTTGCACAGTGTGATGATTGTCCTGGTAAAGAACTCTCACCAAATATTTGTATGAGACTTTTGGAAAACACGAAGATGATTTTGACACTACAAGCAATGGCAAACTTCTGATCGTGCAACACTATTGAATTTAACAGCAGATGTTCCAACATTTGTTGAACTATTAGTAACTTGCTTTGAAAAGCTACAAGCTCATTCTTTTATTGCTCACTCTCAATCACAGTACCTTAACCAACTAAAACAAAATATGGATCAATTAAACATTATCATTATTGGCGACTTTGGAACACCAACAATGTTCTTTACATCCATTAGTGATATACTATAAAGATGATAAAGGTGTACTGAAACATATTTCTTACTGTTTTATATCAGACGATATTACACATGATATAACTTATGTGTACAAAATATTTCAACTAATCATACCAATCTTAAAAACAAAATTTTCCAATTTGTCCAAATTACATTTATTCACTGATGCTTGTGCAGGACAGTACAAAAATTGTAAAAACATTTACAATTTATGCCAGCTAGAGAGCGAATTTGCCCTAAAAGTTGAATGCCACACCCCACGGAAAGTCACCATGCAATGAGATTGGCAGTACTGTAAAAAGGTTAACAGTGCAAGAAAGTTTAAAACGACTATACAGAAACCAAAATCTCACATCAGAAGCTATGTATGAATTTTGTATTGAGAAAATCAAGGTTGGTAACTTCATTTACATAAAGGGAATGGAATTGCAATTGCAACTTGAAGAGCAAAAAGAAAGGTACACTGGTGTAACAACTCTACCTGGTACTCGTAGCTTTCATCAATTTATACATCTTAGAGATAACAGGGTTGGGGCAAAAAGGTAGAAACTATGTGTTTGAAAATGCTGAAATAGAAGAAATACAAGTAAAATGGGAACAATATTGTGAACTATTACACAGTCAAAATAACTTACATATTCGATACCTTTAAAAAATCTTGTATATTTAAGTAGCTTTTTAAATTACGATTCACTTATTTTTATTTTATTTACAAATATTTTTGGGGAATTTCTTGAAAAAAGTAATACATTTTTGAAATTAAAGTTCCATATGTTTCAGTTGTTTTTCCAGTTAGATATTTTGTGCCTAGTAAGATTATAAGCAGCTGAAAATATTAACAGCAGAAAAAAAAAAAATTTCACGGGGGTGTTTTGAGATATTAGGCCCCAAAGTTGGTTTACAGAAACTAGTTGTTTTATTAACTTTTAAGCATGTTCCTTTTATATTTCAGCATTTTAAGTACATTTATTGAATTCAGCATCAAAAAAACATTATATATGTTTATTTTCATATTTTTTTCATTTTTATTTCTTATTATTTTAAGAAAAATGTTTTTTTTAAATGTTATGAAAATCGGGTCATTTTGGGAAACCAGGTCAAAATATAAAACAAAAAGAAGACACATGGTTCAATGGACTGGGTGATTTGATGTGGAATTACCCATGATGCATTCATTTTTACAAGCTTTTTAGCAAATGTTGACATTTGACGCTTTGTTTTTCTGTCAACTTTATACTGAATTTTCCTGCGTTTGTTGACTTGTTGAGCTCTTGTTCTAAATTTTGTGCCAACCTGATGCCCAGTTTTCTAAAACAGTTTTCGGTCGACAGATTTTTGTCAACATTATTTTTCCTAATTCCTAAGGCTGTATTTAATATAACGTAGATTTGTAATGCTTTTTTTTTTTAAATATCTTATTAAACATAATTTTAATTAAATCAACCTCTACTAACAAAACATATTTTTTATTCATGAATATTACATTTAATTTATTTTAGTTACAAACAATTTGTAAAATATAAATAATGAATCATCATTAAAACTATTTCCAAACTTGATGTTTTTATTAATACATTCATTATTTATTTTCTTCACCTTCCAGCTTGTGTGTTGTGAAAATAATAAAACATATCTATATCATATTTTATCTATGCCATATCTTATCTCTATCATATTTTATCTATATCTATATTTTATCTATATCTTATCTATATCATATCTTATCTATATCATATCTTATCTATATCATATCTTATCTATATCATATCTTATCTATATCATATCTTATCTATATCATATCTTATCTATATCATATCTTATTTATTTCATATCTTATCTATATCTTTTCTATATCAAAATCAAGGACTCTGCTAATAAAAAATAATTGTTCTTCATGTTTTCTTCACTCATACAACCTACAACTTTTCAAAAACATTTCTTTGTTCTATCAAATAAAAACTTTTAAATTAATTAAAAAAAAGGTAATTCTATGCCAAGTAAAAAAAAATTTAAAAAATCATATATCTCTTTTGATCAATGATTTTTTGACTTACCTTGCTCATCAAGCAAATGCATAAGTATATCAATAACAATAACTGTTCCAGTACGCCCAATACCAGCACTAGTAACAAAAACACAGAACAAAAGTTCAATTCTTTTTTTAAAAAGATTAAAATTTAATTAAAATATGATTATAATAGTATGATTAACTGCTTTAAGTATAGTTACATAATTATTATAAAAACA